ATTAAAAATTGTTAAAATAGCTATACTAATAACAACAACAAAACTTAATACATTATATACAGTATATATACAGTATATATACTGTATATATATATATAATAAACTTGTATTTATATCGGCACTGTTTGACAATTTTTAAAGGAAATTTCATTTATAAGTTTTCTGCCAATAGTTTATATCCCAAAAAATGAGATTTTAATTATATAATGATATTTATAAATAAAAACAAAGTTATTGATTGAATTTGCATATAATTAATATACTGTCTATACTTTCTGTAAAATCATTAACTAACAATATACAAGTATATACTGTATATAATATATATTAGTTTTGTTGTTGTTTTTTATTATTATTATTTATTATTATTATTATTATATGATATATTATGTTTTAAATATATTTATTTGATTTGTTGAAAATATCGTCAACTCATAAACACCTTTTATGACAGCGTTTTACATCCAATTTTCCCACACATCGATATATATATATATATATATATATAGTATATAATTTATATTTCTATCAATTATGAGTTCAATAACATCAATGATTTGTTAAAATAAAAATTATATTAATAATAGTAATAATAATAATGATTATTATTAATGTTGCTATTAGATATTATTGATTGAATAATTGAATGATAAAATCAAACTTAATTTTTAATGTAATTAAAAATCAAACTGCATTTCATTTGTACATTTGAAATATCAAAATGAATATAATGTTTATTATTATTATTATTATTTGAAATGAAAAACAAAACAAACAAATAAAATAAGTTATATTATTAGCAATAAATAATTATACTAAACTATTTTTATGTATAACTTTTTTTTATCTTAAAATAATTAGTGTCTAAATTAGACTAATCTACAATTATCTCACTTATACTGTATGTATATAAAATTCAAAGCAATAAAATCTAATAAAAAGATAAAATCTAAAGCAATTTAAATACTTTTCAAAAAATACCAACTATTTATATATTGGTTAGAAAATATTTGTATATATATAATATTATATATATATCAATTGACATTTTAATTATTTTAATTATATTTAATATTAGTTAAATATTAGTTGAATACATTTAGTCATGTACGAGTAATTTAAATAAATAATTTTTAAAAATAATATTATTTTAACAGTCAAGTTAGATAATATTGAAATGCTATAATTTGCATTAAGTTATTTAATTAAAAATTCGTGTTATTTTAATAAATGTGTAGAAAAAAATAATAATATTTTGTAATTAATTAACAATAGTGTTATTGAGTGTAAGCGTTAGACAACTACAATATTTAACAGTATATAAAACATTGAATATTTTTTATGAAAAAAGTTTTTTTTAGACTTTTTTAACAAATAAAAATTTGATTCATATTATTGAATAAACATTAGTGTAAACAAGTTTGTAATGTGTTTACCAGTAATAATAATAATAGCAACAATAAATAATTGCATTTGAATTAAAGTGTAAAATTTATTGATTATATTATATACTGTATATATGGTTATACTTAATATATTTACGAGCAATTCATGACCAAAATTTTTTTTTATACATACAAACCGTGTAAACAACTAAAAATTAAATTTAAAAAAATACATATTAATACACTATATTTATTTGCCTATTGGTTAGTGTTTTATAGTCTTATAGTGTTTGTATCCAATAATAAATATTAAAATAAAAAAATGTTTGGCGAAAAAAATTATTGCAGTTATTTCCTAGTGTTGTGTCAAATGTGTCGATGACCGTACACTAACACACACACACACACACACACACACACACACACACACACACACACACACACACACACACATTCCTTTCATGCCATCCCTCATTGCCGGCCCTCAAAAAAATCTAACTACTCCTCAAACATCACAATCCTGTGCTAACCTTTTTTCATAAGACATATACTATTATACTATACATACTATATATATATATATATACTTCATAAAATTTATCTATAAATTTTATATAAAGGTATGTATGTAATCTCTCGATGTGATCCCCAAACAACATAGACATACACACACACACACACACACACACAACCAGTTATTGCCGAAAGTAATAACCAATTTGTTGTTGCAAAGAGTCCGCACATTTTGCAACATTTCATTGCATCAAAAAAAATTTAAATCACATCTCTCTCTCTCATTATCTATCTATCTATCTATTTATCTCATAGTCTTAAACATTTCAATAAGTCTTAAATTATTTGCCAAAAACTATTTTTTATTGTTTTGTTAATATTTTTGTTCGTTTTGTTTTTATCATTATTATTATCCTTTTAAATATGTTATTTAATTTATTATATTATAATATTTTATTTTTTATAATACCTAACGCATTGCTAAATATCTATATATAGTAGTGCTGTTGTACTGTTAATAGAATAAAAAATATTATCAAATTATTTATAATTAAATTTATTTATTAAAATTATTTATTATTTTGTTGTTTTTTCAGTAGAATTATTGTTTTAAATAATATTTGAAAATAAATATTATTTGAAGTCTATGTCTAATCAATTTCCAAATCCATGTCTAGTCTAGTATTTTATTTGTTTTAAAAACATTTGTATTAATTATTAAGATTTTATTTCACGATAAAGTTAAGTAAAGTATTTATTTAAGAGTTTTAATTTTATTAATTTAGTTGTAAATATATATTTTGTTTGTTATTAATTTTATAAAACTTTTTTTTATTATTATTTGTCTTTTCATTTTACAGTAAATAGTATTGAAATATGAAAATTATTTGCTGTTAAATTAAAATGTTAGCTAACAAATAAAAAAAACAATTTGGTAGAAATATTTTTTAATTACAATAATTATAATTCAAATGAAAAATATTCAAATAATTTTATTTTGTATTAAAAACATAATTTTTAATATTTTATTAAAAATAAAAAAATTAATAAATCCAATATCCGATTAAGCAAATGTGTGTTTATAATAATATGATTAAAATGTTTCCCAATGTTTTTTAAAAATAACTAATAATATTTAATACTTAAAATTTAAAATTTAAATGGCTTGATATGTGAATTAAAAATATATATAAATTTTTTAATTATTTATTTATTAATGTTTTGAAATTTATTTTTGCTATTTTTCTCTCTTTTTCTCTTTTATTTACTTATAATTTGAATATTTGAATTTAACATAATTTATTTATATATACAGGTATATATATATATATATAGACAATTGTTGAAAATAAATTAATGATTACAATAATTTAATATTTTATTAATAACCAATTGAAAAGTACAGTAATATAAAATATAATAATACATTATTTACTGGCACTATCTATAAATAATATGTAAATTTTTACTTGCTAAATATTAAATTAAAATTAGCAATTTAATGATAATAATAATATTAAAAATGTATTTTCATTTTCCCCCAAAAGTTTACATCCCCTATATTTAATCCAAAAATGATTTTTTTATTCAATTTTGTTTATAACTTGTTATTACGTTAATACAAATTATTTCTGCCATCTATTGATATAATTTCAAAATATTGTTTTACAATATATCTTATAGTTTTAGTTTTTTTTAATAAAATATAATTATTTTTAATTTATAGCAAAATTGATTTTTATAAATTAATACTAACTATAAACAAATATATATCATTTTTATACTATTTTTTATATTAATATTTTTATAGGATTTAAAAATTCAAACAATTCATAAAAATAAAATAATAAAATAATAAAATAATTTATATTTTATTTAATTTAAATTATAATTATTGTGTATATAATAATTATATATTTATATAACAGGTATTTGTAAACATATTTTTGGTTACTATAGAAAATTATAATTAATATTTCATTTTTTAAAATTAATAATCTATACATTACTGTATAAATTATCTTTGATTTGGACAATAAACTTATTATAACTTATATTTTTGTCATATTTTTGTAAACATTATATATTCAATATAAATGATAAATTTTTTTTTTGAAAAATATGATTTATCACAACAAAATGACTAGTAATGTGTCGCTATATATAAGATATATATATATACTTTATATAATATATTGAATGGGCTTTTTTTGATTGATAACACAGTTATATTTTTATTTTATGTTAGTTGTAATGTACTGTATGTTTTTTTTGACAACAATATATGACTAAAAATTTATTACATTTTATGACAATTAATTAATATAATGTAATGGTTTATTATTATACTTCAATGAATACTCTAAAATTACTTTTTTTAAAAATAATGTGTTAATATATCATTTTATATATAAATAATAACATTGTATATTTCTAAACAATATATTTGTATACAACTATTCATATGAATATTCTTATATATATATTATATATTATTTATGCAATTTATATAATAATAATGTTTTTAACATTTTAAAATTGTACATTAAGTTCTATTTGTATTAATTATCAATTATTTTTTAATTGTCAATTAAATAAATGCTATTAAACTCTATATGAAATCTATACTAAATTGTATATATTTTTTATATCATTAGATAACTATTATTATTGGAACTATACATATATATATACATTTACTTCTATTTTTTTATAAAATTATTATATTTTTTGTTAAAATTATAATAAATCATTTTAAATAATTATATGTTTTATACTTTTAAAAATTGTTTTTGCAATCCCATACATAATTATTAGCATAATTTTATTTGATTACAGAATATTCTGTAATAGATTATATTGCATTTTAAAAATTGAATTGATCTCTTTCAATCAATCATCATCAACTATCTATTTCATCAATAATTATATTTATACTGTATATACCGTACATACATAAATACAAAAGTATAATATAATCATTTTTAATGGATGTATAAATAGAGAGATGCAATAATGCAAACAATAAGTATTGTAGTAGTTGTGACCACCAATTCAGGTGATGGGTGGATGAGCTCATGTATCTGTGTCTGTCGACATCGATTACGATGGCGTACAACTGTTACGTTTGCGAAACCTAATGGGATCGGCGTTTTGCTGATGTCTTAGGCCGGCAATTGTGGTCGGCTGTGACCTATGAAACAGTTCGCTAATCGGCAGACTCGAGCGCCGGCGTTGCATACGATCGCCGCTGCCGTGGTCTCCGCCTCGTGAATGATGGTGTTTATTGGTGGCAACAATTTGGTTGACATTGAGACAGCCCTTGAGCCGGGCCTGGATGAGCATCGATGAAAAGATGTTCATAATATTGCGGTTATCTTTAGCCGAACATTCGACAAATCCGTGATCCCAATCAATGCACTCGCATTCGGCCATTTCGATACCGACCGTACGATCAGAGTCCGGCAGATCGGACTTATTGCCGACGACCACAATCGGACAGTATGTCTCTCCCTTTACTTCGACTATTGTTTCGCGCAATCGTTTCACTTCTTCAAAGGTCTCGGAGTTATCGATCGAATAGATCAGTGCAAAGGCATCGCCTATTAAAATGAGAAAAAGAGAGAGAGTTAGAGAAAAAAACTACCAGTGCTTTCATATTATAGATAAATTATATACAAATATATACAGTACACACACACACTTATGAGCTATTTATATAAATACTAGGCATTCATTGTAGAGGTATATTGATATATACAGTATACCGGTATATAATATATATACTATATATCTAATGTATATATTATAAAAAAAGGATTTGCCTTTTTAAGTGTTACAGTATTATTATACAGTATAAAATTGTTATAAAATATTTTACAATACACTGTCTACGAGAAAATAACCTAAACTTATTGAATAACACACACACACACATACATTTACACACAAACATTGACTTACCTGCAGATATGGCCAGTCGTCTCATTGCTGGAAATTCATAAGATCCTATAATTTTCAACAAAATAATAAAAATAAAAAATAATAACAAAAATAAAATACAATTACTTTAGATTAAATTTTATAGACCATCCCATTATTCAACTAATATAATTTATATATATACTTTATAATGTTTTAACTAAATTAAACATTATTATATTAAAGTAATACATGCAATATATTATACATAATATAAATTTATTGTATAATGCGTTTAAAAGATAACAACTAAAACCGATGATTGACTGACCACTTGTGTCTAGTATTTCCAATGGTATGACAGCTCCGTTGCCCACTTCATACTCGCCTTTATGTAACTCTTCAACTGTTGCCGAATGGCTGGTCGGAAATGATCCTTAAAAAAGAGCAAAAATAAATAAATAATATATTATATAACATGTCATATACTATATACTATATATACGGTATATACTTTTTATTGTACAGTTATTTATTAATACTAAAATATAAATTATAGATATATACTGTATACTGGAGTATACTTTTAGTATACATTAAATATTATTAACGGCAGAATATTCTTTATAGTAGTGTTACTATCTGTAAACACTTGTGTGTATATTCATTAATAATGATTATCATAGTTATGCGGTTGTGTTTTGTGTTATATATATATATATATATATATATATACTGTTTATATATATAGTATACATACTGTATATCTATTGTTTCAAGAATTTATTCATTAATTTTAATAATCTTTATAAATATCATATACAATACAATATATGAAATTTATATGCTTATACTGTGCAATATATATGTGCAAAAATATAATAAAATTACAATAATGTCCCCAGAATAATTTAATTAAGTTAAATACAATTCATTTATAATTCATCTAATATTTAATATGAAATTATAACAATAGAAAAGATAAATAAATAAAGAGATATATATATATTGTGACCAAAAAATTAAGTCTTATTTTCGTAAAAATATTGCTTTTCATTAAAATTGATTCCTTTTGTATGCATTTCTAGTAATAATAGTAATAATAAATTGACATAAATTTGAATGTAATAATAATAATAATAATGTAATAATCATAATATCTTAATAACTAATGCAAGTTATGTTTATGAAAGTTAAGAGACTAATACCATATACACTATTGTCTAGTGTTAGTGGATATATATGCATGACTTATACGGTATATGTTAACATACAGTATATTGTGTTGAATTTTTTTTATTAACAAAAGTTTATGGAAATACAAAAAATATTGAATATATAGTATATACAGTTAAAACATATGTCACCAGTGAATTGAATTATTATAAAAGTTTATATTCAAGTCTATAGTATATAAAGTTTTATATATATATAGACTACAAATATTTACTGAAAGATTTGTGATGTATTTAGCAGCGAGAAAATGCATTTCCTCAGGAAAACTCATACAAATGCAATAAAATGCGGCGTTTTTTCATACATATATAACATTATATGATATACTATATTAAGTATAATAGTTGACCAAATGTCCTCAGAGAGAGAGAGAGAGAGAGAGAGAGAGAGAGAGAAAGAGAGAGAGAGAGAGAGAGAGAGACCATCAGAGAAACATAAGTAATGAAAAGCTTTTTTACGGATCAATAATAATGTACTTATAAATTAATGCTTATTTCAGTGTATAATTGTAAAAAAATTGACTGCAAATATATATCAATAAATCTACAAATAAAATACATTTTTAAAAATCAATCCAATTGTATCCAAATCCGAAAAAATCAATTCAATTGTATTGAATGAGATTATATAATATAAGAAAGTACTGTAGTTATTATTATTATTATTATTATAAATCATAAATTACCTATTAATTTATAAAATAAATCTATTGTTAAGTTTAATAATTTATTACATTATATTGTTATATATATATAAATTTATATCAAATGATTTATATAAGGAAAAAAATATCTAATAATTATTATGCATAATAACAAAGAGTTATATTTATTATACCTATTGAATTTGAATTTATTATAACAGTACTATTAATATGTAAAGTATATACAGTATTAATATATAAATATAGTAATAATATATGAATTTTTAATCTTAATAATAATCATAAATCACAGAATTTCATTTGTAATTTTAATTTACTGTAAAATAAAAATTTAATAATTTATAAAAACATATATTACATATAAAACATTTTTAACATTTATTACATACGGTAAATCTATTTATATAATAATAATAAATGCGATTATCACTTTAATAGTATTGTCAATTTATTATATATATAGTATATATATAAAGTAAAAAAAATAAAATTGTATGTTAAATATTAAACAGTCGAAAAACTTTTAATTTGAAACTTTTTTCTCCCAAAAAAAAATAATTGTATAAATTTAAATAAATTTTCGACAAACTATTTGCTTAAATTTCATTTGTGTCACAAGAAAATTAAATAAATAAAAAATTAAATAAAATAAATTTATAAGCAATAAATTGTAATTATAAGTTTGACATAAAGTGTGCGCTATTACTACTACTAAATTGAAAGTTATTAGTTATTTATATCATCAATTTCATGTTAAAAACTTTTTAATATATTAATATATATATATATAAACGTGAGATTAAAAAAACTAAAATAATAAAATGATTTAAGATAATAATTTTTAAAATATATTATTACAACTACACAATAAAATGCAAAAACACGTATATATATATATATATAATTTATATGATATAATAAACATGGATCAAATTGCAATGAATAAATTAAGTCTAAATGATTATTATTGTCATTTAAAAAATTTAGTACTATTAATAATAATAAAAATAATTATTATTCAAAATACTAAAGATTAGAGTAGCATTTAATAATGCTTAAAATTAATTATGTTACTTAGATTATAAATTATCTTTTTATATTTTATATACTAGTAGTGTTGGCATAAATAAAGATTAATTTTTTTATAGAAAGTTTCTAAAAGAAATTTCCGTCTATGGGATGCTCATTGTTAATTTTGTTGTCTTAATTATTTGTACAATTATTAACAATTTCATTATAATCACAAATAATAACTGAAAAATTATTATTGAAAGTAAATTTTTTTATCTATTACATTAAACTAAAAAATATAATTAAATGATAAATAAAATTTACAATAATAAAATGATAACTAAAACTATAATTATATAATTATAATTTATATATTACTTTTATATCTAGGAATCTCATTCATATAGTACAGTAAATTATATCATATGTAGAGTAGTATACAGTCTATCATGACTTATTAATAAAACATTACAATAGCTATAAATATGGTGATCACATAATACAATAAATTGAGTACATAACTTGAGTATTAACAATAAAGTAAAATTTATACCTAAGAAATTTAGTAGAAAATTTTCTTAGGGAAGTTTATTAGATATTTCTATTTGTCCATCTCTATATACTAGTATATATAGATCATATATTTTTTTAAAAAAAAAATCATAATAAAAATCTTGAGACTATTTATATACATTTAAAGATAATGTTTTATGATATAATCATAATAATAATAATAATAAAACCCAATAATTATAGACAGAATTTGATAATATAATAACAATTTTTATTTTCGGCAAATTTAATCTAAAAAAAGGATGTCATTCATTGACTTTGATTGAATGCTATTGAAAAACTTATTTATTGTCAAACATATTATATACAGTAGATTTATAATGATAATAATAATATATGATAATAATAATAAATCACTGTTATTCACAAAAAAAACTATATTTTTTATTCTACAAAAATAATTTCTAATATAATAATAATAATAAAAATCTAACAAATGAATTATAAATATATATAAAACTGTTTAAATACTGTAAATAGTTTGTCTATAAAAGCGAAACACGAGTTATTAATTAGGACTACAATTCATGTAATAAACTAATCAATTATTTTGTCAGCAATTTTTCACAATTGTTCACAAATTACTATAACATATATATTTTTATAAAGTATATTAAAACTGTACAAATAATACATTATTATTTCAATTTTTCAATTTATTATATACAGTATTGTACTTTAAACATATAAACTGTATAAATATAGTATAAATGTTAGGTTTAGTAGTTTTTTATAATAAAATAATACAAACTGTTGTATGTTTTTTTGTTACTGATTGCAAACACATAGTTATAAAATTTTAATATTTAATTTAAATTTTTTTTAATGTTGTGATTCACTCAAATAATAATAATATTATTATACTGTATATAACAAATAGATTTTGAGAATATGTTAGTTATTCAACAAAAGTAACTACAAAATGTATATAACATTTTTTTACAATTATAATGATAACAATATAATTTGATACTAAACATCAACATAACTATAATGATAATACATTACTAATGCATATGTTATTTAACAAAAAAAAAATTTAATAATCCCTAAGTTATGCAAAATTTAAAATATCTACTATCCATTAAATAATTTTTATTAAATAAAATTTGAATTTATTAAAAATCATTTTCGAAAAAAAAATAAATAAATGCATTACAAATAAATTTCGATTTAGTTATTAAAAATTTTTATACTAATAATAATAATGACAAATAAAACTAAATGATAGAAAATTCAAAATTTTTAAAACTCATACTTAAAACTAATTTGTTTTCATTTTGAATACAATATTATTTGCATATCTTATCTATCGTTTATTTTTTTAAAAAACTAAATGACTATAAATTTATTTGTTATTATTAGTAAAAGTTATTTTTAATCTTTTAACGATTGAAATATTTATAATATTAAATAATATTGTATTTATATTCAGAAAACAATGAGAGATAATTGATTTATAACTCAAAACATATTATTTGCTACAAAAATTACTTTAACGCAACAATAATAAAGTCAAACAATGGACTATTGATTTATTATTATTATTATTATTATATTTTATATTATTTTTATAATTTTTCTTAATAAATGTAAATTATTATGATTTGAATGCACAAAACAATGTGTTAGATTTACATCCCAGTCCTGAAAAGCAATTTATTTGACACTTATCATCATCAGATGTCCAAAAATTATTTAACTGACCTGTATTATTAATATTTTATAATAAAATGAACGTCCAATAAGTATGCTCCCGTAATCATTAATAATAATAACAATAATAATAGTGAAAATAATAATAAAATAATTTATTTTATTCGGATTATAATTAGGAAATGATTTCTCGCTAACTATAAGACAATTTCCTCTAAAAATTTGTTTAATTTTAAACTAATTTTTTTTATTTAGTGAAACATTTATTTATTTAGTTTTATTATTATTAATAATAATAAAAATTTTATTATTTATTATTACATAAAATAAAATTAATAAAAAAATGTTTTCCATATTTAGCTTTCGAATTAGTATTTAATTTTTTTTTTTGATGACATTAGAAAATATAGAAATATAATTACATTAACTGTATTTTCTTAGTTAATTACTTTACTGATGCCATAAAAATGATTTTAATATAATTATTATTATTGTCTTTCACATGTGTTATTTTGCATTTTTTCTAATTAATATTTTTTTAAAGCATACATTTGTTTTATATTTTTTTTATAATTTATACAATTTTTACGTTCAGAATTAATTTCAAATTAGTTAAAACAAATTTTCTTATATATAATTACTATCATTTGAAATAAATTGTCTAACATTTTTGTACAGAATATTAGAGTAAGTATTGTGTGTAAAATACAATTTAATTTATATATATATATACAGTACATCTAAATCTCTTTCACTTTATACTACATTATGTTATATAAACTATAGTATTTGTAAAAATTGTTTTTATATATTTATATTATACAGTATATGCAATAAATATTATTAACTCACTTTAACACATGACTTGATTTTCATTAAATGCAAAAGTAATTAAAAAACGATTTTTTATTATATATATAGCAAATAATATAAATTTATATGTAGTATATACCGTATATACACATATATCAATTTATATATTAAATATATATTATGCATTTGGACACAAAATCGTTAAATATTTTTACAGTATTAACTCATAACATATCCTGATTATAATTATCAATAAAATAATATATCATTAATTTCAATGTAAATCCAATAGTTTCATTAAATATTATTATACAAATATTAACTACTAATAAAACTAAAAAATATGCTAAAATTAAACTAAAAACCAAACCATTTGCTTAATATATTTGCTTATTTATGCCGGAATAATGTGAAAATTATTATTCACACACAAAAACACACTTTATTTTACTCATTGTATTGCTTTTTCTATTTCAAGATTTAATATATATTCAGTGAACCAGTAATAGTGTAGATTTAATATAATATTCAGTATATATATTCAACATATAATTTATATATATATATACTTATTATAATATAATATACAAATCTGTGTATATCATACAATATACACCTGTAATATAAACTAAACAATATTACAGTATAAGTAATTATAATAAATAGACTCATCTATTGTAAGGGCATATAATTATTATAAATTTATAAGCAATATATACATTATAAATATATAAATATTACAATTTTATATGGTATATACAAAATATATTGAATAATTTGCACTAAAATTTATAATCGACGACAGAAAATATGTGTGAATTGATTGTAATAATAGTAATAATAATAATAATAACTACAACTCAACAACAATACTAATAAATTAGTTGCTATTCTCTCTGATTCTCTATAATTGTTTAAATTCAGTGTTCATTCATTCATTCACTAAATCATTAGTGAATCTCTCAATTCATTATATTATTTCTACTGAAAACTTATAAAACAATTTTATACCAATAAACACAATAGGAATTCCTTTATATATATAAAAATATATATACACTATATGTTTTTTATTACTAAATTTTGTTATTTTCTGCTTTATATGTGTTTTTTTGTGGAAATGTGTATCAATTGGAAAGATCTTATAAACTAATATAAAACTACTAATATATATCAATATATAGCATAAATATAAAGTATTGTCTAGTTTAGCGGCTTATATACTTATTGTATAGATTGTACATACAGTATATACTATATACAAGTGCTTATTGCTTACCATAAAGAAATTGTTCAACAATTGCCGTCTTTCCCACAGCACTGGATCCCATGATTACGATTCTGTATCGATCCTTATTATTATTACCACTGGCACCGGAACTGTTGGCCGTACCGATGCCTAGTGTCTGGTCGACACATATTTCGGAGGCCACTCTCAGATGAAGCTTCGAGTGTCTTCTCTGGCGCGACAGCGGCGGTGTACTCGTACTGAAACATCCCATACCTGTGTCCAACATAGCATCGTTGGTCTGCGGACTCAACAGTGAAGAAGCCCCTCCTCTCGACGGAGAAGCTGTGGCCACACTTAATGATCGCTCTTTTATTTTTGTATTGATTTGAGAGCGTCGCTCATCAGATGACCCTTTCTTTGCTAACAAAGGCATTGATGATTACTTTTTTCACTTTTTCTTCTTTATTGTTCAAAATCAATGACTTTTTTTATTTTGTTATTTATTTATTATTATTATTATTACTATTATTATTATCACTTGGTCTTAGCTTTTGTTGTTGTTGCTGATGATGATGTCGTTGATGTCGTTGATGTCGTTGATGTCGATCACTACAAAGTCACTAAACCAGTGTTGTCTGTATTAATACTGTAAAAAATAAAAACAGTAAATAATAAAAAAAATAAATAATACTATAATAACTGTGATTTCAAATGATTGTCCCATTAATTTTGGTTAAGCACTTAAAGCATTGCAAGCATTTATTATTATAATTAACTGTCCAAAACATTTAACTGTCAATAGTAATGACATTTATATACTGACTTAACGATTGATAATTAATAAGATATATACCGGTATATAATATATATATCAGGAATATTAGGAATTTTTGATATTTAATAATATAATAATTTATATAAATTTAATAAAAATAATACTTAAATAAATAATAACAGTAAACAATATTCTAATGTAATAATAATGTAATAAAACAATAATAATATTAGCTATTTAATTAAAATTAATTAAATTTACAATGTATGGTCTCCAAAAACTATTAACATATAAATATTAAAAGAAGTTTTATTAATATTAATATTTATATAATATTAATATTACAGTAAAATATGTTTTATTTAACTTAAACACTAAATTTTAATTAACAAAAATGTGATATCATTTAAGTAATAAACTCTAATTTACTATTTTTATATTAAAAGATGCGTGTAATGTATGCCAAAATTATTATATAATAATAAATATACTGTACTCTACTGTATATATGATATTAATATCTAATTATTAAAATATATATAAAAAGAAAATTATAATCTTATTAGATAATTATGACAAACTAAACATATATTTTTCTTAATGTATAATACTATAAACTTTAAGCCAATTATTTACTGATATATCACTGATATTATACTGTATAATATCGTATATATATATATATATATATAAATTTATAATTAATGTTTTCTCTTAATGCATATATGATAAACCAAAATCTTAAACAACACAACAAAACAAAAATAATATAAAACTTCAAATTTCATGTGAAATCACACGAAGTAAAGCTTTTCTCTCGATTTTTCATTTAAATTACAAAAATCGGAATAAATTTAGAAATTTAATTTTACTTTTACTATAAAAAATAAAATTTTTTCACTAAAATATAATATACTGTATTATATTATATCTTTTTTGAGTCTTATATTTTTTAAATCTCTCTCTCTCTCTCTCTCTCTCTCTCTCTTTCTCTCTCAAACACAGTCACTAAATCTCTCCTCTAATGTAAAACCAATGTCTTTATAGATGAAAAGTAAATCAATTGTAAATCAAAAGATCACTTCAAGTTTGTACTCTTCAATAATACATACAATCGTCAAATACACAAAATTTTATTGATTAAAAAACTTATAGTTTGCTTGTAATGTAATGTATTGTTGAACTAAATAAGAAAAACTGTTTTCTCTCACAACTCTTCTTCAAGAATACAATCGCTGTATAAATAAGTTTTTCATTAATTTCTCTCTCTCTCTCTCTCTCTCTCTCTCTCTCTCTCTCTCTCTCTCTCTAAATCACTCATATACACACTCAGTCATTGTTATCTTTTGGCACAAATTAAAGACCACTCAATTTCATTGTCGAGTAGAGTTAGTGAGAAAGATATCACATTAATTGGTCTCATAATTTACATTTACACTGTATATACAATATATTCAAGTCAGACAAACAAAACATAGTTTATACTGTAGTCTATATAATAAATTATATACTGTATATATTACACTTGAAGATGACTTATATATATATATATATATATATATATACTGCAGATAAACTAATCAATAGATAGATACTGTAATATTATTATACAGTATTATTTTGTATATATAAAAAATATAACTTATAATCAGGTTATTGTAAATAAACAGAAAAAAATATTTTAATCTAAACACACACATACACACACACACACCGGTATCTTAAGTTATATACTGTGTATACACTGTATATACATAAATATATATATATATACTGTATATATAAACTCAATTTATTAATAAAACAATACACACTGCTTACTAAAGCCTTACCAATAGATCAAAGCCATTAGTTATAAGTAGCAACAAATAACTATTGATTGGATTATATTCACAAAAAAATATTTGTTTTATTTTACAACATAACAATGTGTATGTGTATGTGTGTGTGTGTACGTGTCTGTGTGTGTGTGTCTCTGTGTGTGTTTGTTTGTTTGCAAACCTAAAAGCAATATATAAATAAAAAATTCAATCAAATTGGAAGCAAAATCTTTTGATGTATGAAAAAAGCATACAATTTATTAAATGAATTGTGAGAAAAATTATAATGATTTTCAAGTAAGAAATTTCATACTAAAATAAAATTATATATAAACATATTATTATTTTTATTATATTTTCTATTAACTCTAATAATTTTTAAAATAGCTTATTTCTTAAATTTATTTTTAAAATTGAGTCTAATTTTAAAAAACAAATTAATTAATTAAAAAAATTAATGGTAGCACTAAAAGCTTTTTTTGATAAATATTAATGTAGTATACACTGTAATATCATTATAAATATAACGTTTTAATAATAAAAATAAAAAACAGTTTATTGATTGTTTATATTTTTTCAAAACAAAATAACTCTAATTGAATCAATTTAATAAATAAATTTCTAAATATAAATATAAATTGATAATAAAATTTATTTATTTTTTATATGAATTTATTTAAATTCTACATTTAATAATTAATTCCACTTGGTAAAAAAATATATTTTATTTTTATTTAAATATATTTTCTGAATTACTTTTATATATTTATATACCTTATATTTGCATTATAATAATATTTAAATAAATAAAATGCTGTTTTTCACATAAATTTTGTGTAATATATTAACACAAACTACAAAAAATAAAAATTTATTACAAAAATTCTTAAAATAAATTCCTTTAAAATTCAAATTAAGACAATAATAATCATAATTTTTTTGAGAAAATAAAAATAAATCAAATAAATAATGGCTTTATTAGTAGATAATTCATATTCTTTATTTATATATATTAATTATATATATATATATATCTGAATATATGTTAGATATCTTTATTTTGATGATATTTTGCTGTAATTAGTTAACGACAAAAAATATTATAGCAAACAACAACAAAAATATTACAACAATTTTTTTTGCTAATAATACTACAACTATCGTATATAACACTAATTTAATGCAATTCAAGAAGTTTATTGATATACTGTATAGTGTAATATCAACACCAATAAAAACAAAAAACTTTGTATTAGTTACTGTGTGTATGTATGTGTGTGTGTKTGTGTGTGTGTGTGTGTGTGTGTGTGTGTGTGTGTGTGTGTGTGTGTAAAACAAAACAAAAATATATCAAATAAAAGTATCAAATTTTGTGTAAAAACAATTTCCGATTGTATTTATCACCAAAAATAATGATAATAATAATACAAATGACAAAACAAGTTATTATAAGACAGAGTGAGATGTGACTGAACAACAAATTGACAAAAACAAAACAAAATTTATTTTAGATATTAAAGAGTAATTGTTTCTATCAATGTATTTGATGATATTTTTTTATTATCTGACCCACTCCTCCCCCCAATCACCAATGGGTTCACATTAATCATTATTATTATCATCATCATCGGTGTGTCTGTATGTTTGTGTGGATCCAATGCGCATCAACCAAACAATTCAATCGGATAAGTATTGGCAAGTATTGTGTCAATAGATATATATATAAAGAGAATTTACAGGTAAAAGAGAGGATATCTATTTGCTAGCAATAGTAGTAGTAATAGTAGTAATCAATTGTGTCTAAACAGCCAAAAATAGATTTGCAATTTAATGGTGTCATCGAAATAATTAAAATCTTTGTCTTCAATCCTATGATTTCAATAACACCGACAAAGATTTCGCAAACACATTGAGAGAAAGAGAGAGAGAGAGAGAGAGAGAGACTTGTTTTGCAGAAACATTATCAACAATATTATTATTATATATATATTAAGTATTTGTTTCATTGGGAAAAAAGTATTTTCTGATAAGTGCTGCAATTGATATCTGTATTAAGCAATTCAGTGATATATAGGAAAAGAGAAAAAAATAATTTGATACTTACATAACATATCATGTGTTGGTGTGTTGTAATAATACTTGCACTACCAGTAGTACAATAGTTATGTTATATTGTACTGTATGTGTTGTATCAATATATTTTGAGAGAGAGAGAGAGAGGACGAAAAAAACGACGACAGGTCTCAACCGATCTATGATATCAACAGTTTCTGACAAACATATTAACACAAATGCATGGCATAGATGTGTGCACTGAGAGAGTGAGAGTGAGATACAGAATAGGTATGTATGTGTATGTGATATATATATATACAGTATATACAGAATCTACAGTATTTTATATACAGAATCCACAGAATTTATATATAAATTCAGAGAATCGGTATGTAATGTAAGGTTAGGGCCGACGCACTGATACCAAATGTGTCTCATATAGTTAGCCGACACTGTTTGTGCTCCAAGACATTCGTTATATAAAATTTATATATAATATATATATATATATATAAAAGCTCACAATATATCTGCAACAATATACTGTATGTATGTATTCTGAATGTATGTACATTATGTATAGAATACAATCCTAACTAACAGTCTTAACACATACACACACAGCACCTAACAAACTGACGTCATTTTAGCAAACAGTTCAATAATTTTGATGTTTTATTTCTCTCTCTCTCTCTCTCTCTCTTTCTCTCTTTCTTTCTTTCTTTCTTTCTTGCACTGGGAGTTGGAATTGACTTTTTGCTGCATTTTTTGTCTCTCATTAAAAACTAGATT